TTTAAATTTCATCCTTAGCACCAGTGAGGCACCTCATGAGGTCCCTATGCTAAAGGCATCCTCCCCTCTCCAGAGAGTGCTACTGCTGCGGTTGGTGAGACGTATCGTGTTTGTTTCCTGTTTTGACTGCTTAGCTACTTTCTGTTTTGCTGTTCAGGCTCTCTCCATCTGGAGACTTTTTTGACCTTTTCTTCTTCCTCTCCTCTCTCCTGCTAACTGTCTTATATGTTCAGTTATCCCTCTGCCTCCTTTAGTGACAATGTTATGTGTAATAAGTGTACTATTTTTGTAGCTTTGGAGGGTAGTGTGTTAGAGTCCCCACTTTGAGCTGTCAAACATCCAAGACTAAGAGTAAGCCCACTTGTTAACTGCCATTGCGACCAAGATCAGGGACACATCCAAGTAGCGGTCCTCTAACAGTGCCTGAGCTGCCACATGATTTGGTGAAGGTATGCAGACAGTGCACCTGTGCATCTCTGCCCTCTGGTCACCAATAACTCTTCCGTGTTTCTAACCAGAGCGCCTGGAATCGAAAAAGAGACTGGTAGCCAATGAAGAGCTTTTAGAATCGGTGCAATATGAGCCCTTCTGTTTGTACGACTCAGTAACCTTGCTGCAGAGTTCTGAACCTGCTGAAGACATGACAATCCTTTTTATATAGACATGAGAATAGACTGTTTTAGTGGTCTAGATGGAAAGACACAAAGGCTTGGATAATAATTTTAAGATATTCTCTGGACACAATTGTTCTAAGTTTAGATTTTCCTCAATTGAAAAAAAACAGTTCCTTGTCAGCAGTTTTGAGTGGTGCTCTAAGGACAATGCTTTGTCAAAAATAATGCCTAGGTTTCTAAGGCTTGGATTAGCAGACAAACTAAAGTTGCCTAGATAGTAGTGTGTGATGTATTGTGACGAAAGTCTGTACTGAAACTGTAATTTCCCTCTGGGATTATAAAAGTATGTCTGATTCTCATTCTGATACTGGTGGATACCTGGAATAGCTTTATCAAGGGCAATCATCAGCAAACCTGTTTTATCTGAGTTTAGTTGCAGGGAATTTGCACCAAGCCATTGTTGGGTGGGGGTGGCATGGAGGTATTGTTTATGAATCAGCCCTCAACATCTTTGGCCATACATGGTCAGGCAGCAGCTCCATCACTTAAACATGAAAGGTACAGTGGCTCTCACCAGAAGAAGCCGCCTCAAGCCGGAGGAACAGTTTTAGATCAAACACAACTTTAGGCTCCATCCACACGAAGTCAAACCCTGGCCTGTTTTCGTCAGTTTTTGCTTTGGCACCACAGCGCCACTTACAGGCCTGGCATACATTTTGCAGAGTTTTCATGCATTCGTGTGGTTGATCACATTTATTTTACGTCTCCGTCTTTACGACAAACGTTCTGGAAAATATAAGCGTTTCGTGTTCGTTTTGACTTCGTGTGGACGGGGCCTTAGATTGCCCTCAGATCCAAAAGCCTGAGGAGTCAGTCATAGCTTGTAAGCTCTCTGATAGAGCAAAACACTGAGCAGTTATTGTCAAGGGTTTGTTCCCTATCTTTGCTAGGTGAATTTATAATTAACAATGGGTATTGTGAGAAGTTCTGAATTTGACTGACGTGACTATATGACACGTCCACTGCTGCAACAATGCTGCTGTGAACATGAATATAGGCAATCCTAATGAACAACCTTAAGAAAGATTTTGAGCAAAACATTTTCTGGCCCAATTTAAACATGGAGCCTAGGTGGAAGTTCAACTGAAGAAACTGAGTGCTCTTCCATATCCACCTGAGACACAGACCATCAGCTTTGAACCACACCTCCACGAAAGCCAATTGGCATCCAAAGTTCATTTTAAAAGGCCTCAGATTCACACTGTCTGCTCCTGTGCTCAGGCGGTGGATGCGCTGTGACTTCATTCAGGTGACACCATTTCAACCCCACTCCAGCCCCTCCTCCACCATAGTAGCTAAAGCTTTATCAGAGTGTCATTCCTCCTGGACTCTTACTGTGTTCCCTGTCTCATCTCAGCCGGTCCAGCAGAAGACCACCATGTTGAGGTGTCTTAACAACAGGGAGTTTTTCCTCTCCACTGTCGCTTCATGCTTGCTCATCATGGATAGGTTCTCTCAACCTGTGTTATCCAACTGGACTTCAATCTTCCATGTCCCTCCACGGGATCTCCCTATAAAGCTCAGCAGACCGTCTCACTAACCAGCAGTGTACAGACTGACCAACTTCATCTATCTCCACTCCACCACCAGTTTCAGGCCTGGGGGGAAACAGACCTATTCTTTACTCCTGTTCATGAAAATCTATCAAAATTAAGTGTTATGTTCCCTGCCAAGGTCTGAGCGCCAAAGACAAGTAATTGTATCAATAAATTCCTCCTAATTGTCTTTTCTCTTCATGTGAGTTTTTCAGATTGAAATGCCACACAAGTAGAAATCACACAAGTAAATATCTATAAATGGGATCAGGTATGGAAATGGAGCAGGTATGGAAAGCCAAATGTGCATGTGGCACATTTGGCTTTCCATACCTGCTCCATTAATTAAAAATGTACAATCTTTTTGGAGAAACACTGGTCTGATTCGGAGAGACTGCATCCATCCCACTTTTGATGGTGCAGCACCTCTTTCGATCTCAGTGTTTCATTTGATACGGTTGATAATAATATTCTTTTAGAAAGACTTGAATATTTTGTTGGAATTAAAGGAACAGCACTAGACTGGTTTAAATCTTATCTATATGATCGATTTCAGTTTGTTCACATTAATGACAAATCTTCCTCATACTCAAGGATTACCTGTGGAGTACCACAGGGCTCAGTGCTAGGACCAATTCTCTTTACT